ACAACAAAGCCACAACAAAGCCACAACAAAGCCTCAACAACCAGTCAGAAATCATAGCAGACAGACTCTCATTTTTGCCTGTTCTGTGGATTATGTTACTCACATTCTAATAAAGATAGAGGCCGCCAGGTGTCTTTATGAGATGACATTTGTATGGTTGGGCTTTGATTGAAGGGACTCAGTTTTAGCTGAGAATGGCATTAAGACCAAATGATACATTTACTTTCTGTGCGTGCTGCAAAAACAGTGACGCTGTTATTTTGTGGCAGGTGATTGAGCTGCCGCTGACCAACCCTGAGCTCTTCCAGAGAGTGGGGATCATCCCCCCTAAAGGCTGTCTGCTTTACGGACCTCCAGGTTGGAATATCAGTGAAAATCGAAAATCTACATCACAAACCAGTGACATCCATGCATACACATCACATTTGAGTACAAAGACATATTTAAGCAGATTTGATTGTGAGACATTATTTTTGAATCTTATTTATGTAGGATCCATATTAATTTCAACATACACATATGTAAGTGTGTAAATGTAGTGCGGTTGGATAACTGTTGGTATTGATGACATTCCTTCTGTAACAGGCACTGGGAAGACTCTTCTAGCCAGAGCAGTTGCCAGTCAGCTGGACTGCAACTTTCTCAAGGTGAGCGTTCGCGCTGATGTCAGGGTGTTCTGCCACACTGCAGTCAGTCAGTCAGTCAGTCAGTCAGCTGATGTGTGTGTGTGTGTGTCTGTCTGCGTGTGTGCTGCAGGTGGTGTCCAGCTCCATTGTGGACAAGTACATCGGTGAGAGTGCCAGGCTGATCAGAGAGATGTTCAACTATGCTCGGGACCACCAGCCATGCATAATCTTTATGGATGAGATTGATGCAATCGGTGAGTGACACACAAACAGTGGGGTGGTTTCCTGGGGCTTTAGATATTTAAAGGGTATCTGCATTTTCTCATTTACTCTGCTTGAAGCTGCAGTCAAAGCTTTAGATATCTGCAAACTGTTGTAAAGCTTTTATTATGAAGCTTCTTGTAGCCCTGACTGATAAAGATACTGTATGTACACTTTCTTCTTCTTCTCAGTTTGAATTCCCTCAAAGACTCAGGACACACACAGATCTCATTACACACATGACTTTAATAACAATTTCCATCTTTCTGTAGGAAAATAATATATTTATGGAAAATTTCCATAATCATGTTCTACTTGCACTAATAAACATGTTTTTTATGATTACAAACGGTTTTGCCCACCTGCAGTAATGTCAAAACCACCCGTTGCAGGATCCCAATTTCAATGCAGTCCTCTATTTTAGATTCCCCACTTAGTCTTAAGTTGGGTCCTGCCACCCAGTGCGAGTCCTCGCTGTATTTCCTCTGCCATGTTTGTGTTCCCTGTAGGTGGCCGTCGATTCTCGGAGGGAACCTCTGCTGACCGAGAGATCCAGAGGACTCTGATGGAGGTAACTGAGTCACTGTATCCTAGGCTCCTAGGACCAATACAAAAACACACAACAGCCACAGAGTGAGAGAGAGAGAGAGATACAGACAGAGAGAGAGAGAGACAGACAGACAGAGACTACTTTACTTTAATGAAACTCGGTAGGATGCGGCAAGGAAGCGCTTGAACCTGTTGTATGTTCGCAGCACATCGTTCACTTGCCACCTCAAACATCACAGTACAGACAAAACAGCCTGGCAGAGGTCTGAGTGCCCTTCTACTTTTCTATGATGTAAATGTATATTTCATTATAATCAAAAAGGTATTTAATGTTCATAACACCACACACTGCTTTATTAAATGTTTGTTATAGTGCAGTTGGAGTTCTTCAAGTTTCATATGCTGCATTTGTCACAGATTTAAGTATTCTTTTTCTTGTATTGTACAACACCTTATTAGGGTCACTGGCAAAATACAATTCTGATTCTGATTCTGAAGTGGAAATATTTTGAACAAAGAAGTCATTATTTAGATTTCTGGCCCACTTGCCTGGTCGGGGAATAAAAAGCGTCTACATTGAACTCTGAACATGTTGCAAAATGATATATTTGTCCACCAGCCAAATGGCTAATGACTGTTCACATTTTACCAGCCACTCAATATATTACCATTGTGTTTCACCTGGTGAGTGAAGCAAATCTACAACCACTTACATATTTGACAGCATTTGGCTGGTGCTAATTCTGTGCCCTGACCCTGTAAGTATTTTGATTTTATTTCCAAAATGTCAGATTTGGTTGCCCTAATATTCCACCCTAGTTAACTGCATAATATTTACTATATTCTCTGCTAAATTCTCTTAGATGTTTGATTTTCAAACAAATCTAACATACACTACATCTCCTGGTCACAATTTTTCATTTCAAACAAATTGAAATGCTCCTTATCAAAATTGTTAATGTGCTTATTTTAAAGTGTCATCTAAAATTGTAGAATTATAGTTTAGGGTTTTTTTCACTTGTAGAAGTGGTCAGGGCTGAATGTATTAGTGCTTATCCTATCATGACCCATTTTATTGTTACTCACTGAAGAAAGGTTAAATGTACACACTATATAACTGCAAAGCATGACCAGTATATTATTTTTATATTACATATACATAATTTTTTGTGGCCCATTATAAGTTGATGTGCAGTGGAAGCAACAATAATGAGGAGAAAGAGAGACACATTTTTTATTTAGTCTTTTTGTGGAGCAACAGCTGCTGCTTCTATGTGCAGGTGTGTGTGGATGTGGAGTCTGAGCACACACTAACCTCAAGTTCTGCTTGTACAGAAGTGTCACCACAAACACTTATGAGGTCTACCAGCTCACTGTCCCTCCACTGACTACCTCCATCACAGCTGAGCAACTCCCGCCAGCACACAACTGTGACAAATGATGTAAAATCACATGAATTCTGATGACTGGTCGCACTGAAAAAAATCCAACCTGTATCTGATTTTGGTATGAAAGTGTGACCGTAAGTCAGCACAGTGGATAGAGGATTAAATGCAGCCACTGAGTTGTTTAATGTGTACCCTGTCAGCTGCTGAACCAAATGGATGGCTTCGATACACTGCACAGAGTCAAGATGATCATGGCCACCAACAGACCTGACACTCTGGACCCGGCCCTGCTGCGGCCCGGCAGACTGGACCGTAAAATCCGTAAGATATCCTCTCTCCCTGTACGTCTCCCGCGTGTCGGATCTGTGAGACTGCACACAGCAAATCTAATGTCCTCTTCTAATCCTCAGACATCGAACTGCCCAATGAACAGGCTCGTCTGGACATCCTCAAGATCCACTCCAGTCCCATCACCAAGCACGGAGAGATAGGTCAGTGAGCACAACTGATCCTCAGTGAAGCTCTGCTGTGCTCCTATTTGCACAATGTGCAACCAGCTCACCAGCACGAGGTCACAGAGATGGTTCAGAAGATCAGAGTGTAGTACTTGTTATACTGGTTGGTTGGTTGGTTGGAACTTTGTCATGTAGGGACTCTACAGCTTTATCCTAGCATTGCACTCTCTGAAGTCCATCATGTGTGAACTCACTACCTGAGAGCAGTGTAAAAAGTGCCTTCCAATTACTGAATCAATTTTCCTCAAATTAATACAATCCAGACATTGTCTTCATCCCCTCGACACTCCAACCTGTCCGTGCTGGCCAGTTTTGGCTCCTAGTTGCACACATACTGCTGTCTATGTATTAGGAGGTAGACAGGGTGCAGGGTCTAAAATGCCATAATCTCAACTTTAGGTCTTAAATATGATTTTGATCAGATCAGGTCTTAAAATTTGATGGACATGAAAATAGGTCTTAAATTGCATTCATAATTGTCTTAAAAAGGTCCAGTGTTATGTGTTTATTAGCTTTTTTAGAATGAGCCCTGTTTACATAAAGATACCGCAGAGTCTACTATGTTTCTACAGTAGCCCAGAAGGGACAAACCAAACACTGGCTCTAGATAGGGCCATTGGCATTTTTCGCCTGTTTCGTTGCCCCTGTAGTAGTAGAATGTGAAGCAAGCAGGTTGCAATCTGCAACTCCACCTAGATGCCCCTAAATCCTACACAGTGTACCTTTTTCTACAAGCTGTGGAAACCCTGCTAGAGTGGCTCGTTCACTTTTTGCCAGTTTGGCAGTCCTATCCCTAGGTCCTCCTGTCTACATGTCAAAGTGTCCTTGAGCAAGACATTGAATTTTGGGAAAATATTTAGACATAATTAATAGGGCTGAGCAGTTTTATCGATTCTGCGATATATATCGATATTTTGTTTCC